AGATAACAGCCCTTGCTCAAGGTCACTGGAGGCAGAGCTGGGAAGAGGGCTGTCAGAACGCCATCCAGCCTCAGCACTTTGCCGAGGACAAACAGCCCTGGCCTGCTCCGTGATGCTCTCTGGGGGCTGTCCCCAGGCTGGGCAGGGTCTTCTTGGGGGTGCTGCTTGCTGTGGAGACCCTCGCTGTGCTCCAGAGGGAGATCAGAGTCACTGGGCTTGACTCTAACCAGTAGAAGATGCCGAGCTGGGACGTCTTACGCTGCAAAGCCTTCAATCCGGGGAGGCACTTGCACCCTGCGCTCGTGCCAGCCCTGCTGCTGTGGGGCAGGGCTCTCCCGGGAGGAGGTCTCCCTCTGAAGACAAGGGCCAGCACTGATGTGATGGGGCTTGTTCGATAGACACGTGCAGCAGACACGGTCTCATCAGGAGGCTGCCCCTCCCCTTGCCTTTGGAGATGTTCCCACAGGGCTAAGGCAGGTTGTAATGGCCGTGAGCAGATGAGACACAGCAATCCCCTCCCGCAGATAACCAGAAAGCTGTCGTGCCTCTCCCCGGCTCTAAGTTCACACCATGAAATGAACTGCACGAAACATCCACGTGGTGCTGAGCCATAGGGGCAGCTTTGAACCTCCCAACGCCTTTCTGCATTCCACCCTTTATTTTGGTGCTGTAAATAATCCTGCTGTCTCCCTCCGGGACACTGTGTTCCTCATTCCTCCCTGGATAAAGCTGTTGACCCCTGTGCCAGCTGGTGAGACCAACTGTGTGTCCCTGCAGTGAAGGGGGAAGCCTGGGAAGCATTAAAAATTGGCGGTTCCCTTGCAATCCAGACCTGTATCTCCATCGCCCGGCACCGCGGACCCAACAGCTTGGCCATATTTGCCAGCGAGACTGTGGCATCTGTCCCGGGCCCAGGAGCTACATTCCAGGGCAAGAAGGAAACGATGATAACCAGCCCTGGGAATCTCACCGCTCCAGCCAGGCTCCGTGCGGTGACGCACGGCCCCCGCGGGTGACACTGCTGGCGACGCTGCGGGTCCTCGGTGGGTACCAAGCCCCGCCAACCTTCTGCTCGCAGCCGGCAGACCCGAGCATCCCGCAGCACCGGGCACATCCAACGCCCTGCTCCAGGGATGGCCGCCTCGTTCCTCATTCCCGTGGGAATCTGGCAGCTCCAACCTCTGCTCTCCCACCTGGCTGAGGCACACCACCGATTGCAGGAGCTCCTGAAAGGGCGGGCAGGGAAGCAGGACACCCCGCTTAACTTCAGATGCCCCCTGGGCAGATGTCACAGCCTGAGCCATATGGAGCAACAGCCCTTGAGGACCTCCCAGATCCACCTGGAAGCACCAGTTTCTCTCCACAAAGGCCGCCCCACTCCCCCCACAGCATCTCCATCCCAGGCCCTGTGCCCGCACAAGCCCCATTTCCTTGGCAAAACTGCCTGAAAGCAAGAAGCAGCTCCAGCCACAGGTCCCAGGGAGGGAAGGAGGGATGGAGGCTGCCTCCAGGTCCCACCACCAGCAGAGCTCCCAGGAACCAGCCCCCTCCGCCCCGGGGGATGCGCTGCCTTTCCCACTGACTCTAACCTCAAAGTTCCAAGAAGGCTTTCTCATATTTTCCGGCAGTAAATTACCATTGAATTATTACCCTCATTAAGTGCAATATATCTGCTAATATTAATCATCTGCAAATAAATCCACACATTCCAGCACTTGGTATGCTGTTATCAGACCAGGAGATAAACAGCTCAGCAGTCTGTGCACCCATGTTTGACTGCAGGGTGTCCCTGTGGTGTCTCTCCATCTCCCAGTGCCTCCTGGCTTTCTGGGCAGGCCTGGCATTCCCCAGACACTCGTCCATGACCTGCACATCATCCTGGAAGGTCTATTGGCAGGCAAATCCCAGCAGAGCGGCTTGGGCCACACCCGGTGAGTTTGGGAAAAGCAGAAAGAGGCAGAACCGTGGTTGTATTTATAGTTACCGAAACTGGAATTTGACCAGGACTGCACCTCCCGTTGCAAGAAATGCCAAAGGACCATTGGTGGCTCTATGGGGCTGGTTTCTCCATAGGGCAAGACCTTGCAGTTTCCTGATCACACCCACCAGGACTTTGGCATAGCAGCTCTCACAACAGGGAGCTGCCAGCCCTCCCCACGAGCTCATGCAGCGGGAACCCGTGGTGAGTCTGTCTGGGTGGGAGGGACACCTGGATTTGAAGGGGACAGAGCAAGCCTAAAGGTCTCCTGCAAATCATCCCTACGGGAAAATTACCTTGCACAGGATTGAGAGCTTCCTCAGGTTTTGCCAATGCTGGGTGGGCAAGAAACCCAACCAGTCGGACTTCTGCCCTGCCAGTGTCCCAGCCCAAGCCCCAGGCAACTGTACCACTGGATCCCTTTGACTGGTTTGGTTTTGCATCCCAGTGTAATTGCATTTTATTGTCCGTCTGCCGGGGATCTGTGATATCCCCTCGGACCTGGCACCCCCACTGCTGACCTTGCTGGGTCCTACACAACGTGCCTGTCCAGGGCCTGATGCAAAGAGCAGACATGAGGAGCACCAGCAGCTTCCTCGCCTGGAGCTGTTTCTGTTTTGCTCATGCAGTGAGCCAGCTTTGGGATTTTACTCTTCGTACCAGCTAGATTGAAATGAAGCTGACAATGCTCCCAAAGCTCGGAGCTGGGCTGGTCCCCAGGTGAGACCTGTCCCCTCTGGATTCGCAGACTGGCTGCACAGCCTCTCTGCTTGGCAGCTTCTCTTTTTTCAAAGGCAGATGGCTGTGATTTGAATGGAAGCTTAAATTCAGGGCTCTGTGGTCCTATTCCAAGCTCAGATACTGCTCTCAAGCAGGTTGCTTTCCTGCCATTCCCATGGCCACTTCTCCAGCTCCACAGCTCTGCCCACACTGGGATGTCTATTTAGGAAAGTGAGGCGGAAAAAAATCTTTCACTGGTGGAGCTCTGCTAGGAAAAGTGCCAGTTCAATGATGTCAAAAAAGTCCCTTTTATCATTAGTTGATTGTCCAGGCAGTTCAGCAATGCCAGCACTGCCTGTGCAGCAGAGATGCTGTTTCCTCTCTGTCTGTGGTGCTTTGTGAGCAGGACCCCTGTGCCTGGGACCTTTGGGTGCTGGTGTTGGGGTTCCCTGGATTTGCCCCATGGCAGGGACCACTGCGCACACTTGTGGGCTGGCCCTCCTGCCATGTCATGAGTTCCCGTTTCAAAGGGCTCCATGCATATCAGGCTGCCCTTTAAAAAAAACCACTTGATATGGGTTATTAATGACATTTACGGGATAACTGCTTGGCAATTATTACCTCTGTCTGTCAGATGGCAATGAATCAGCAGCCCCTTTTCCGCTGGCACCCTCTGCCAGGCTGTTCCTTTGGCATGTTCTGGACACAACAATTGATTCCCGTAAGATTAGGTTTCCTGGCATTAAACGCTGATGCCTTGTGCATGCACAAGGTACCAGAGATTTTTACTCTGACAGCCTCTGGGAGCAACCAAAGGCCACATCGTTGCCTTCTCCCTTGCTCCCGCCCCAGCCATGCCCTGCTCCTTCTCTCCGCTCTCTCAGTGCCCTGCCTTCTCTCTCTCTTCTCTCTTTTCCCCTCTTTTTCCCTCTACCCAGGCCAAAAAACACTCAGAGGTGGCAGCACATCCCACCCGCCCTGTGTCTGCGCTTGGGGATGAGCTGGAGTAGAGAGGGCAGCAGGGCCATCCCCTATAAACAGTTTGTGCCGAGCTGTCCTTGGGGATGAAGGGAACACGAAGGATCAATTCCTTCCCAATACCCTCCCCAGCTTCCTTCTAGTGGCTTATTCCTTTGCTGATGTCCCCCGCTGATGTCCCCATCCTCCTCATCATCTCTGACATCCGGACCTGGCTCCCACACTCTCAAATCCCTCTGGGAGGAGAGGAGACCACGAGCCTGGACACAGCTCGGGAGGGTGGTGCCAGCGCGGGTCAGGGACACGGTGGCGGGGGGGGGGACGAGTCCTTTCCCCTAGTCTGAGCTGGATGCTCCCTGCCAACAAGCACGTCACACCAGTGACTTTTTTTCAGCTCGAAACGCTGCATTTCCCGAGACATGGGCAAATTCCCATGGTAGGAGGTTGAGCGGTACCTCTGGGGGTGACCCCCGAGTCTGCAGCTCCCGGGCGGCCCATCCCAGCGCCTCCCCGCTCCATCCCTGTGCGCTGCCAGGGGCATCCGAAGAACTCGTCAAACTCTCCTCCCGACGAGCACGTGGCGCAGGGGTGGCTCCTGCCTGGCCCTGCCTGGGGACCGTGCCTGCAAGGCTGATGACAGATAGCCCAGCCTGGTCCGCGCCGGCACGTCCCCGCGCCGCTGCGGGCTTCGACCTCCTCCCCACGCAGGGGAACGGAGCCCGCGCCCTCTCTCCCGGGCAGGTAGCGGGGGCTTCGCCTCTCTTTCCCACTCCTCTCATCCCTTTGAACCTGGAAATAAGAAAGAAAATGCTTTCCTCTGCCAATCCCATCTTCAAAGCCCGAGCGGCGGGGTCCGGCGCTGGCACAAAGCGCACCATTGTCCGTTCCGGAGGCGGAGAGTCGGCCGGGGCACAAAGGCCGGGGAGATGCTACCCACCGCGCCGGGAAGCTCGCCCAGGCCAACAAAAGCATCTTCTCCCGCCCCGAGTCCGAAGCAGCTGAGGGAGGGGGCCCGGGGTGACGGTGAATATGAGCTATTGTCACCGAGAGCCCGGAGCATGGAGGGACCCGCAAAGGTGATCAAACAGCCCAGGCCTGAGCGGGAAGGGGTGGGGTGAGGGGGGACATCCAAAAAAGCCCTTGTCCCTCTTCAGATCTCTCCTTATCTCCCCTGGCTATCTCCTGGGCTTAGCCTGGGTGTACTTGCTTGCAATTACCTCCTCCAAGCCAATCAGGCGCCGAGCACAGCCCTCGGTCCCCTTGACTGAGGTGATTTATAAATGACTCACTGGCTTATTTGAGCACAGACCTCTGCACACCTCCTTGGGAGCACCTCTCTGCCTGGGCTTTCTTGCCACATCTGCAGCTCCCCTCACAGAATCGGCCCTTTCACCGCCCGGCGAGGCGCAGGTAACCCAGCTCCAACAATTGTGCTCTTTGTCTGGGTGGGCGTGGGGGATTTACACTCTGGTTGCACAGCCACTGGGTGTGAGTTTCAGTATTTGGAGAACTGGTACTTTTTTTTTTTTTCCCCCCTTCCCTTTTACTCCCTCCTTTTGCAAAGGGGATTTATAGCAGCAGATTTACTCAGGAATTAGCAACACCAATGATCCAAGAGATTGATTTATGAAGAGAGGTTGGAAGAGCCAAATATGTGAATTAATTATTACTAGAATAAATCCTGCCATCTTATCCTGGCTGGCTCCTGCTGAGATCTGGGGGGGGATTTGCCTGGTATTGGAGAGGCAATATTGATGAGAAACGTTCTGTTTCTGGATCCTTGTTAGGATCAGAACTTTCTGTGCATGGGACTATGTAAAGTGGTCCCTGCCTGGAGGATGTTGCAGCCCAAATTCGACTTTGTACACACAGGTATGGCGAGAAAGGATGTGGAGCCCAGCACCTGCAGGCAATGGTTGAGGAGCACTGGTCGTGCACAGGAATCTGACCTAGGCAAGGGGTCTTTGCTGCGCGGGAGATCCTGGTGCATGGATGCACGGCTCTGGGCACGCAATCGGATTAAGAGGGAATTTTAAAGCTGGGAATGAGACATGCTCCTAAAGTGACAGCTGTCAGACTGGGTGCAGGGTCTCCAGCTCCTTCCAGTGCCATTTCATGGGATGTTTAGGACCAGTTTGTGCAGGCTCACTCGTATATAGGCAAGAGAAAATATCCCTGTAAGCCTGCTCCATTGCGGTAAACTGCTGCTCACGTAGCTGGGATGCTTTCTGCTCTGCCCTGATAAAATTTGTCCACCCCATATTTGTAAGCAAGCTGAAAACTTAAGCTGGGGACCTGTCCTTCTTTCCCTTGAAGATAAGACCTTGGAGTGACATCTGTCGCTGGCCACACAGTGCTTCTGCCCCAGGTCAGAGATTTTCAGTAAAGAAATGCCATCCCATCCTCTACCTCTGGGGGAGGATGGATTGGGTGAGCCCAGAGGTGTTTTTCCTTCTCCAAGAGCAAATCCGCAGGGGCAGGGAGCGTGTGCAGGAGCGAGCTCTCAGCAGGCATCCCGGATAAGTGTTCACAGGCAGTGCAAGAATGCTGCAGTCTGCAAACTTTTTAATTCCTTGGGATTTACACTGCCCACCTGCTCTTCAAAGGCGGAGGGCAAGGTCTGTGTCAGAGGAGTGTGGAGAGCAGAGACCCATGGCAGCAAGGGATGCCAAGGTTTCACTTCTCCTTCTTTTATGTGCACTTTCCAACCTTCCCTCCTCCCCATCCCAAGGGCTCTGTACGCCGAGGGAGCGGCAAGGGGCTGGGGAGGATGGACACACCACTTTTCAGAGGACAGACTCCGATGCCGTTAAGGTCAGGCGCTGCTCTCTGCCTGCCAAGGAGCTGGCAGCCTGATCCCAGCACCGCGGTGTCACGCTCAGCAAGGTGACACCGCTGGGGGATGGCAGGGCAGGGAAGCTGGTGGCTTTCGGAGGACTATGATGGGGCCATATCTACACCCCAGACCGCAGCACCCCAGGACATGCACCCGCTGCCTCAGCTCAGCCCAGCCCTCCCTCGGCGAGGTATGGTGCTGGATGCAACCACAGAAGCAATGGAGAGTTAGGGTGGGGTTGGGAACAAGTGGGTTAATCAAACAAATCACAGAAAGGGCAGTCCAGATCTGGGCTCATTTACCCCAGTGTCAGTGCAGGGCAGATCCTCCGTGCCCAGGGCGTTTGCTGCATTTATAACAACATTAAAAAGAGCAGAAGCTGAGCTGCTGGATATAAGCATTTCACTTAATAAACACCCTTCAAGCCAAACACTTTGGCTTCACCTTCAGGAGCTGGCAGATGTCTGCAGATCTTATTATTCTGGTTACCAAGTGCAGAGCTAGTTTGGTTAGAAAATCGTGTGAAGTGGTACATCAAACATTGGCACTGGCCCAGCGACGGCAGAACAAGAGTACGGTGCAGCTCTCCTGCCCAGTGCCTGCGTTGGGCTGGGTCACTTAAAAAAAGAAAAGGGCCATCTGCCTTATGGAAATCACCTATTTAATACTCCAAATATTTAATCTAAACAAAAAGAAAACACTGATGTAATGCCTGGCTGCTCGGTGGCAGAAGTGCAGGAGTGGAGGGGGACGTTAAAGCCGAGGCTGCAGCACGGTGCAACGAGATGGGAAGGTGGGAGCTGGGGGAAGCAGAGGGGTCTCCTCGCTGCACCTCCCGCACCCCGCTCCCTCCTTCACCCTCTCCCTCTATCTCTGGCTTTTATTCCACCAGCCATCATGATGGTTCCCGTGTGCTGCTTGTGGGAAGTTGATTGAAGCAGCTAAGCTTTGACTGCTTCAATTTGGCATTCTGCCTTTTCTGAGGCTAAAGGCCGTTTTGGGGAGAGGATATTTTTCATAACTGGTCTATATGCTCTCCTAGCATCAGCCTCTTCTATTTCCAAAGGACAGAGGTCAAGAAAAAGTTAAACCCCATGGCCAAATGTTGTGCGTGTTCAGCGCATGGCACCATGCACGCAGCCAACTGCTCAGCCCCTGAAATACAACCCCCGCTTCCCTGCTTTGGCCTTCTTCCCCTTCCCCAGATTATCTTATTACTAGGAAAGGGTTTTTTTACCAATATACTTGTGCCAGACATATAAGACTATAAATCTGGCTTTACCACTGAAAGGTGCTTTCTTCTTGAATCAGTTCATTTGTAGATGAACCCTATGGCAATTCAGAGCCAGAGGTAAAACAAAATTAAATCGAATCAAAGCGATTTTAAGTGTGAGCAAAAAGGTGTGCGCAGCCAAACGGCCCAACTGAAGACACTAACCACTAACCTGAAGGAACGTGCCGGGGGTCCCTCGGTGACGAGCACCCGCTGTGGCCCTTCAGCTGGACTCGGTCCTGGCCTGTCCCTGATGCCAGGAGGTCAGAGAGAGTGAACAACCCGGGAGCACAGGGGAGGATCCGCTGGGCTGATCGGCGCCCGATAGTGGAGGTGAATTATACAACATCCTTTTGAAATGCCTGAACTGACTGACAGCAGAAACCTCCTCTTCCTCCTGCCTGTGTGCTTTGTGAGCCCAGCTCGACACCAGAGGCGTGAAAGGGAGAGGGAAGCGGGTGTGAGGCGGGGGGGGTGAGGCAGAGTTCAGTCTGGAGGAGCACCCGGCACTGCAGCATCTGCCACTGCAGCATTTGGCACTGCAGAACCCAGCACTGCAGCATCTGCCACTGCAGCATTTGGCACTGCAGAACCCAGCACTGCAGCATCTGGCACTGCAGCATCTGCCACTGCAGCATTTGGCACTGCAGCATCTGCCACTGCAGCATCTGGCACTGCAGCATTTGGCACTGCAGAGCCCAGCACTGCAGCATCTGGCACTGCAGCATCTGGCACTGCAGCATTTGGCACTGCAGAGCCCAGCACTGCAGCATTTGGCACTGCAGCATTTGGCACTGCAGAGCCCAGCACTGCAGCATCTGGCACTGCAGCATTTGGCACTGCAGAGCCCAGCACTGCAGCATCTGGCACTGCAGCATCTGGCACTGCAGCATTTGGCACTGCAGAGCCCAGCACTGCAGCATTTGGCACTGCAGCATTTGGCACTGCAGCATCTGCCACTGCAGCATTTGGCACTGCAGCATCTGCCACTGCAGCATCTGCCACTGCAGCATTTGGCACTGCAGCATCTGGCACTGCAGCATCTGGCACTGCAGCATCCGGCACTGCAGCATCTGCCACTGCAGCATTTGGCACTGCAGCATTTGGCACTGCAGCATTTGGCACTGCAGAGCCCAGCACTGCAGCATTTGGCACTGCAGAACCCAGCACTGCAGCATCTGGCACTGCAGCATTTGGCACTGCAGCATCTGGCACTGCAGCATCTGGCACTGCAGCATTTGGCACCGCAGCATCTGGCACTGCAGCATCTGGCACTGCAGCATTTGGCACTGCAGAGCCCAGCACTGCAGCATTTGGCACTGCAGCATCTGCCACTGCAGCATTTGGCACTGCAGCATCTGCCACTGCAGCATTTGGCACTGCAGCATTTGGCACTGCAGCATCTGGCACTGCAGCATCTGCCACTGCAGCATTTGGCACTGCAGCATCTGGCACTGCAGCATTTGGCACTGCAGCATCTGGCACTGCAGCATCTGGCACTGCAGCATCCGGCACTGCAGCATCTGCCACTGCAGCATTTGGCACTGCAGCATTTGGCACTGCAGAGCCCAGCACTGCAGCATCTGCCACTGCAGCATTTGGCACTGCAGCATCTGGCACTGCAGCCGCCCCGTCCTTCCCCACGCCGTGCCTCGGTGCAGAAGCACAGCAGAGGTTTCAGGGGAGGAGACGGGAGCTTCCTCGCCCAACCTTGAGGTTCTTGGGCCCTTTCACCGTGTTGCCCCGGGGCTTCCAGGGCACCTGCAGCCGCAGCCGCAAGCGGGAGGCCGGGCGGCGCGGCGGGCGCGGGGCTGAGGACACTGATTTATTCGGGGCAGCAGGAGTCAAGACCTTGTCCTGGTGTTGCAACCAAACCCTTGCACCTGGGCTTGACTTCTCCAGACAGACCTTGTCTCCTGGGGTAGGGGAGAGTTGCTTTTTACAACCCTTTCTTGAGCAATGGAGCTGGGAGAGAGATGTTTTTAATGAAGATTTCCCCAGGATTTAGAAGAGACCAGACCTCTGAACTCCATCAGCTGAGAAGCAATCAGCAAGGAGATCTGCACGTGCAAGGAGAAGGGGGGATGGAGAGGGGGCAGAAAAAGGAGGAAAGAATATTTCCAGAACACTGATTTTTTTCTCCCTAAAATGTAGCAGATGCAGTCCCTGAATGTCCAGCTCTGCACTGGAATCAGTTTGGGCCCTTATAGCACATATATTACTGCAAAAGGCAGTGATCAGATTGCTTTCCCACTAAATTTTGACTCACACTCCTTGGGCTGGAGTCCCTTTTCTATGCCTATGCCAGTACAGGAAAGTGGCTTTATGCCAATGGCTCCTATCAACACTAGTCAGAAACCTCAATGTGACTTTCCTCTTCCCAAACACAGCTATCACCAGCACAGGGCCAGATGATAAGAACTTAGTAAATGCATTTGCAAGATGAACACTGGGAGAAAAGGTCTGTGCTTGGCATGCACAGGCTGGTCTGAGACTGGCAGGGCAGGGATCAGCCAGGTATGAACAGATGGGACTCTTTGCTGATGACCTACAGGGACAGAATCTCTCACCCACATCATATTCTGAGAGCAAAGCAGTTCTGTCTTCATTTGTTGCTTGCTCCCAGTATTCACTTCACAGTCACGTACTCAGTGTGTCACAATTTTTCCAAGACCCTGGGCTCAGTGGACTTAACAGTGAGGCCAAACTTCACATTTCTCAGCATCATCCACTCTAGCCAACACACTGGAGGAATGGGCTTCCTGAAAAGCTTGTCATGGGGCCCCCACACTTGGAGCTCTTCCCCCAGACCTCATCCATTATTGCCATCCCCATACTAGAAGAGAGATCTTGAAAAACCTGGTCCCTGCAAAGCAGCAGCTTATGGCACTCTGGTTTTCTCCCCACACACATTGCATTTGCTTCAGTGTCCTGCCCCAGCTGTGGGATTTAAACCAGCTCCGCAGCTTGCTGTGGTCTTATCCCATCAACACCAGGACAGCTGGGTTTGTCTTTTGTTCAAGGAGCAGTCACACAGCTCGTTCTCTTTAATTCCGAAATCTCAAAGGTTTAACCTGCTGTTTGATCTAGGGCAAGGCCATTGATAAGCCAAGTCAAGAACTTGACGCTGTCCGAGACTCTGACATCATTAGCCTGTTTGTTTAAGATGGAATTTAATCATGGGGATATTTTTCCCTCTATACTTGCCTTGTTTATTATTTTTCCTGATTGCCAGCACTTTAGCTCAGCAGGGGAAATTCATTAAAGAGCTGTGGTATAATTGGCTGATTCAGTCTGTCTGATGGCCGGCATGCTACTTGGCAAGTGATGGAGCCGAGAAATAAAGCTGAGAGAAACTTCCTGCACCAGAAACTCGGCTGGGTTCATCACCCCTTTAGAAGTTTTTGCTAAGCCTGGGCCTGGGATACAAAATACGCACAAGGGAGAACTGGAAATCTAGAGCAGGGCTGTGGGGCTGGGCCCTGGAGAAAGGCTGGGCACGCTGGGAACCTGCTCAGCAATGGGATCTGGAGCACGGCTATAAGGCTGGGACAAGACTTGGGCAGACTGACATGGGAAAACCAGAGAATGACTGGGTGGGCTTCTGGCATGAGTATAGGGACTGAGAAAGAGCCTAGGTCACTGCTTAGTCTCAGCCTGCACCAATCCTCCAAAAGGTGAGGCTTGTAATTGCTCTAGGAAGAGTATCTCTAGCTGACAAGGAGCAGCAGGGATGCCGGTGTGTGCACGCCTGCCGAGGGCACTGGGTTGAGCCTCTGGTAACGCAGGAAGAGGGACACATCCCTAGCTGGCACCTCGCTGGGGTCCCTCCCGAGTCAGCGTGGGTGCAGCTCAGAGCCTGGCATCAGAAACACACCATTGCTGGAGCTGTTTTACAGAAAACTGCACTTGATTGCTCCTGTGATCACTAAAGCATCCACTGCAAGAGTGGGGTTGATGACCTCCCTTTCTAAACCCATTAGCTCCTATTTGCGTAACGATTCTGTTGACCTAAATTCTCCCCAAAGTTTCGGCTGCCTGCATCGTACTTTCCTTCCTGCCCTGGTCTGCTGGGCCGCTTTGTTGCATATTACCCACGTCTTCCAGCCCCCACACCAGGGTAACAGCTCATCAGTGAGGACTGACATTAGTCCTGCAGACAGACATGTTGCTCATCCTGCTTCCAGCGAACTCGGTGTCAAGCTGTGCAGTGACTTCAGCAGTGTTCACAGTGCCTAAAGAGGAGAGAGGAGGATGTGGTACATTCAAATCACTCCATAAGCTCTCAGCAACCTAGCTGTTTTTTCTCGATACATTCTTCTGCCTGAATCACCAGCTTTTTCCACCCCCTCTTCTAGTCCTGTGTTGGGCAATGACCCACTTAGATACACACCATACCACAAATAATTACCAAGATCCTCGTTTTATACCTGACCACTTCCTCCCTCCACTCTCAGCCTCTGCTGTTCACAATGATTCTCCCCTCTTCCCAGGCACCACTGGTCATAGTAAAGTAAGGGTTCTCTGAAGTTCATCATCTTTCTTTGGTGAGACCCAGATACTGGGCAGGACTAGTCCATCCAGATGTTTTGGCATCTTCATCACTGAGATAAATTAGCAACAGTTATCTTTCTGCCCATCGCTTCCTAGAATAAACCAAGGACTCATCCACAGCCTCTCACAGCAAGTGAGAAATAGGAAGGCTGCTGAAGGCAGTGTAGCAGGAACACCTCAGATGGAAACTGCCTTTAATCACGGTGACAGTATCTACCATTTCAAACTGTGTCAGGGCTGCCCAGTGTTGCCAAGTCTCACCAACCTCACTGGCAGATGGTGAAACTGAGGCATGAGAAAGGTCAAGTGACTTGCCCGAGGCGAAAAGGCAGTCACTGGCAGAGCTCAGATTAACACCCATGCTCATCTGCCAGGCAATCCAGGACGCGCTCCTGTCCCCTTCATGCAGCATCCCTCATTAGCATCACCTCAAAATAGGTGGTAAAAACTCCCTGTGCTGGGGAGCAGCAGCCCCCGGTGCTGGGAGAAGCCACTCCCAGGACCTGCCTCTGCGCCACAGGGAAACTATTTAGGGTGGAGATGTTCGGGGAGGGCTCCCAGACGCTGGAGGTGTCCGGTCTGTTATACTGCAGGTGGGGCCAGCTCCAGTCACATTCTTGGCTTTGTTTTTTCTATTTTCTGGGAAAAATCTGGATGATCCAGAGATGAGCCACGCCAGGCCTCGCTATGTCATCGAACGTCCTGCATATTCGGTCAGCCTCTTTGATGAAGAGTTTGAGAAGAAAAGTAGAAGTTACCCCGTTGGGGAAAAATTGAAAAACCTTTTCAGGTAACATAGAATGCTATAGCTGGGGCAAATGTAAACCAGATTTGGTCTGGAATTGGGATATAATTCAGACCTGGGGATATAGTTCCCATTTTTATCCCAGGAAAACTTCTCCATGGTCTTCAGGGCTTTGATGGATGAAAAGCACAGGAGAAACGCAAATTGTACTGAAGCAAGTGAAACTGGTTACTCTTTTCACTGCCTCTCCTGTTAGGCTGTAAGGCAAATAAGCAGAACAGTTTGCACTAAGTGCACTTGGGATTTGGGGTTCTGTTTTCCAAGGTTTTTTAAATAGTGAAAAAAGTACAATTGGTGATGTAGGTATGGGTATGTGGATTATTTCTTTAAGCTTTTCAGCTAGGATTTCCTTTTATCAGCTTTCTGATTAAAAACAGTACTGACTTTCCTTAAAGAAAGATTAATAATTCTGCAAATAAAGATTAATAATCCTACTGATCAATGTATTGGAAATGTAGCTCCACTCCCTGGAAAAAGAAAGGCAGTAATACAGGAAAGATAGAACATACATGTTAGCAGGCAGAGATATGAGATATTGTATGTGCCAACCCAAAACCAATCTTCTTTCAGACACAGTTGGGGTTTTTTTGACTAAGCACTTGAAAAAGTTCATCTTTGTCTCTTCACAACAGCCCCATGAATCTCTGAGCTGCGTTTCCTCCCTACAGCTCACCTATCCCCTATCTGGAGGGTATGGGGATACTGGGGAGGTAAATCTTTCATTCTGTGCAGCTTCCAGCTGTGGCAGCACTGGGGACCTCCCACCGAATCAGGAAGGTCCCCACAATAATCCTCCATGGCAGATACAGCTGGTTAACCGCAAGACCCTTGCACTCGCAGGGAAGGGCTGTGTACCAAATACTGGGCTCAGGATTAGGTGTGGGAGAAAGGCTGAAACATTCCTAGGAAGATCCTTCCTTGCTCCCTTGCTTGCTCACTTCCCAGATCACTTGCTCCCTTTCTTCTTTACTTATTTGTTGCTTCTTTTTTTTTTTTTTTTTTTAATCTCCTGTAGATGTTCAACTTCCAGATTCAAACTCATCCTCTTTAGCCTGTTCCCAATACTTGTGTGGCTTCCCAAGTATAAAATTAAGGACTACATTTTGCCTGATGTTCTCGGTGGGCTCAGCGCGGGGACAATTCAGGTGCCACAAGGTGAGACACAATGACATTCTGGGTCACCGAGAGGGGATAGAACTTTGCCAGTTGAAGGAAAGGTCTGTAGATGTCCACTCTGGGGGGGTTAGCTACCTCTACTGCTGACATGTATGAACCTAAACTCTACCTCCAACCAGGTTGTCCCTATATTTCTCTGTGGTGCCCTTTTTTGGCCCTCTTTGGCGTCTCCTGCCCAGAAAGCAGCAGTCTGTGCTGGCCACAGCACCTTCTAGGAGCTGATGTGAGTGTGAGCAGGGCAGGGGGCTGCACAGACCTGGGTGACCTGCCCCTTTCCCTTGTGTTTTCCAGGGATGGCCTTCGCACTGCTGGCCAATCTGCCCCCCGTTAATGGGCTCTACTCCTCCTTCTTTCCCTTGATAACATACCTCTTCCTTGGTGGTATCCATCAGATGGTCCCAGGTAAGAGTCTGAAGAGCAATTATCTGCACAAGGCAGTTAAATACTGGCTGGGAATACACGGCGTGTCCCAGAATAGAGATGTTTGGGCAAATTTGGTCTGTCGGGGGTTTATGGGATCCCTGATTCTGGCAGCACAGCAGGATCTCACCCCAATGAGCCGCTGCCCCATCTTGCCACGGGGCTGGCTTCAGCGATGGGCTGGGTGACTAGGTCTGGACAGCCTAACCTGCCCAAGTGCCTTCCAGGACGGGATGCTCTCTAGAAAAAACTACTGACATCACTGTGTCGTGTTGTAGGTACTTTTGCAGTCATCAGCATTATTGTTGGCAATGTCTGCAATGAGCTGGCTCCAGAGTCGGACTTCCATTACTTCAACCATGCTACCAATGAGACCCGAGTGAATACCACAGCCCTGGAAGCGGCCAGGCTGGAGATCTCTGCCACCTTAGCCTGCCTGACAGCCGTTATACAAGTAAGGACTCGCTGCACCGCCTGTGCTGGGTCCTCTGGCCAGAGCTGGCCAGAGTCAGCCGAGCTCTCTCCCTGGAGCAGAGATGGTGGCAGCAGATGCTACAAGAGGCCCCACTGCTAAGTGGATGATGCCTCAGCGTAGAGGTTCGGGGGGGGGGGGGATCCCGCCCCAGCCGCAGTCTTGGTGTGAAATTTTCCGAACCAAGGGTGAGGCCAGCGCCTGGGGCAGGATCGCAGCCAGTGATGACACCTCAGCACCCTGCAGCTCTCCTCTCCCCATCCCTGCTCCGGGACAGTCTGCTCAGCCCGGCCCAGCCCGCGCCGTGGCTGCGTGGGAGGGATGCACCCCGGTTCCCAGTTCTGCACCTCGCCCTTTCAGACTGGCATGCTTCTAATAACGCCCTGTCTGTCCTACCCTAGCTGTGCCTGGGATTCGTGCAGTTTGGCTTTGTTGCTATCTACCTCTCAGAGTCTTTCATCAGGGGCTTCATGACAGCAGCAGGGTTGCAGATCCTCATCTCCGTGCTCAAGTACGTCTTCGGCTTGACAGTCCCATCTTACACCGGGCCCTTAGCTATCGTCTATGTAAGTGGGTGCTCTGGACAGGGGCCTTCCCTGCGCCTCCTCCCCCAGTGACCACCACACCGCAGGCATCGCTGCCACCCGTGCGAGGGAAAGGGGGGCTCGAAGGGAAGGAAAGGGTGGAGGGAGGGGGAAAATGCCTGGCTGCACCACCCCCAGCCCAGCACGCCTACAATGCTGCCACTGTATTTCCTATACAGTATTATCTGAGCCCTTGTCTGCTAGTTTCTAGTGAGAAATAATGAAACAGGTCTGGGATTTGGGGAGAATATGAACTGTGTTGCTTTGCAGCAGGAGTTTTGCACAATTGTTAGCAACAGAAATTTTTCCTATGAGCAGGTTTGCCCATTCTGGGGCTTTCCTGCATCTTCCATGGATACATTTCCATAGAACTGTATTTAACCAGACACCACAGACCCAGGGCTGGTTGCTGATCTCAGCAGCAGGGTTTCTAGCACTTTTCTCACCCTCGTCACATCTCAGAGTGTATGCAGTTGATTATGGTAACAAGTGTTCTCCACTGTGCTGTCCACGTTGTCCAGAGTCTCTGGTTCCCCATGACGCCTTCTCCTCTTCTCTCCCCTTTAGACATTCATTGATATTTGTAAAGGTCTGCCCAAAACCAATGTGGCCTCCCTGGCCTACGCCTTGGTCAGTGCTGTGCTCCTGATCATTGTCAAGGAGCTCAACCTAAAGTACATGAAGAAGATCCGGATGCCCATCCCCATGGAGATCATCATCGTAAGTGACACACGAGCTGTCCCTCGGAGCCTCCAGGAGACAGTCTCCCCCCTCACCTTACAGCCCTGGGACACCCACTTCTGCTCACAGACAGCCCATCACGCTGAGCATCTACCCAGTGGATATGACATGACCCCCACGTGCCTTGGGGTCAGAAATTGGGCCATCCTCATGGAGGATACTTCTGATGCCCAGCTCATCCCCGTCAGACTGGACCTGCATCCTGGAGATGCTGAGGATGAGGAACATAACTCCTGCTGGGGAGGTTCTCTCCTCTCCTAGCCCAAATTTGGTGCTTATTTTCTACTGTCAGCCCCAGGAGTTCAGCAACATTAGTGCGGCTGAGAGAACTCATGCTCTTTCTGCTTATTGCTCTTTTATTCTCTGTACTTTCAGGTAATAGTTGCGACTGCAATCTCAGGCAGTTTTAACATGCCCGAGAAGTATGGCATGCCAGTAGTTGGGAAGATCAGCATGGGGTAAGTGCATGTGCAGGTCTGACTCAGCTTCCAGATAATTTTCCTTCCTCCTCCTGCATCTTGGAAGACACCTCACTCTTCCCTGCTGTATGACAGTCCCCTTCCAGGACTGTCAGGCAGCACTGGTGTGTCCCGTTACACAACTGCCACCATCCACTCAAGCTGTGCACAGTGCAGACACGGATTATGTCATTCCTGAACACACCAGCTCCTCACCCACTTCACCAGCCTCCGGACACTAGTGTCTCAACTGCTTCTCGCCTCCGCTCTGAGTGCAGGTTCCCAGCGCCAACCCTGCCCCTGGTGAACAAGTGGAAAGACATGATCGGCACAGCTTTCTCGCTTGCCATCGTGAGCTACGTGATCAACTTAGCCATGGGGAGAACGCTGGCAGCCAAGCATGGCTACGACGTGGACCCCAACCAGGTAACGCTTGGTCTGGAAGGACGCAGTCAAGGACCGTTCCCCTTGCTCTCAGGCGTGAAATGAAAACCTTGCTGCATGAATGGGAAGCTTTCAAACGTGCTCTGCTTAAAACAGACGTGCTGCTCCCATGCATGCAGGCCCACGTGGCAGCTTGCCACGTGGAGGTCGAAAGGACGTGGCCGATCCATCTCCCATGGGCTAAAGAGAGCCTGCAAAAGGGAAGAAAGACTCAGGTTTTGCTCTCTGCTTTGCTCCCCCCACCCACCCTGAGGCTTCAGCCCCGAGCGCTGGCACAGACGGCATTTTTGCAGGTTGTTGGAGCACAACGAGGCACACATATTTCTCACTGAGCAGAGAAAGACTTGGATTCCTGGTGTGTCACCTAGATACTCTGAGAGGCAGGACATTGAATAATCCTCTTTTGGCATCGCTGGCACAGTGGCAGCTTTCAATAACAGCCACACATACCACACGAAGCCCTGCCCTTGGTGTGTCAACAGATGACGATGTGTTTATGTGGAATTGTGCTTCCAGGTTTCCCTGCTATACCAAAGCCCATCCCAGCTCTTGAAGGAAAGGGTCTGGGACATACTTCAGGGAACCCAGGTCCCTTCCCTGGCCACACAAACCCCAGACTCCGGCACCACTCTCCTGCCTGGCAGCTCACAGGCGTTGGCAGGGCAGGACGGGTAGCTGTTCTTTCTGATGATCACGTTCTTCCATCTCCACAGGAAATGCTGGCCCTGGGCTGCAGCAACTTCTTTGGATCCTTCTTCAAAATCCACGTGATCTGTTGTGCTCTCTCCGTGACTCTCGCTGTCGATGGGGCAGGAGGGAAATCACAAGTTAGTACCTCCTTACCTCCTCCTTCTCTCTTCCCTATGTGACCCTACTTGACCACAAACCCCTGTAGCTACTGCATGCTGCCAGCCTGGCATCACTGCTGCACGTCTGGAGAAGCTCCACACATGAGTGCTTCATGTTACTGTTTTTAAAGCAGAATTTCCTCCCTCCCCAGGCCCATTTTGTTCCCCGGACAGTTCTTTGAATTGGTCACAGATGTAGGGCTGTAAATCTGCATTCCCAGTCTGGTTTCCCTGATTGAGCAGAGCTACCACATGAGGGAAGTTTGGGGTTATCACTGAGATCTGCAAAATCCTACCCTATTTCTCAGAGGCAATTGTCTGCTCACATAAAATACTACAGCGACCAGTTGTGCCGTTGGCTGAAGCAGCAGAAGAGGAAAGACCCAGAGGGGGTTTAGGAAGACCCTGATGTTCGCAGAAGTGATTTCTTTCTTTTTTACAGGTGGCAAGTTTCTTTGTGGCCTTGGTGGTTATGGTGACCATGCTGGCTCTGGGGATCTACCTTGAACCTCTTCCAAAGGTAACACAAACATCTGTGCAAACAGCGCGGCCGTTGCATCACACACTCTACACACCCAAGCGAAGGCACAGTCTTGCTCCAAAAAACCCTGATGCAAACTGCTGCCCAGCATGGTTTGTTCCTGGCCTGGGGTCCTGTCTGCACTCAGTCTCTGAAAGCAAGAATAGTTTAAATTATCATGCTCAGATCCAAGTGAGATCTTTGTGAGCATCACCCTTTCCCATTCCCTTGTGGTCACTGGACCAAGGAGGGCAGGTTTTGCAGAAAGCATCTGCTGCAGAACGTGGCACATCCCCACGACACATCCACATCCTCGCTGACACGATCCCCTCTCCTCCGCAGTCTGTCCTGGGAGCCCTCATCGCGGTCAACCTGAAAAACTCCCTCAAGCAGCTGGCTGATCCCTTCTACCTGTGGAAGAAGAGCAAGCTGGACTGCGTGAGTGCCTGGGGATGGGTGGGAGGCATCCGCCTGCCTGACGCTGGCAGCTCAGCCCACGGGAGGCAGGGCGAGCCGGCAGGCGTTTGGGGGCAGGAGGGCGGTTTGAGTCCCCCACAGAAGGTGGGTTTTGCTCCCTCAGTGTGATCGTGCTTCCAACCCCTTGCCAACGAGGTCCTGAGCAGTGGCAGAGCCTGTCCTGCCCAGCTGAGCACTCTGGTGCTTAGTGCACATATCAGAGAGGTCTGAACTATTACCTGCTCTGTTTAAATGCCAATCAACTGCAGGAGCCTGTTTGCCCAGAACTAGCCAAACCGGCCCTGCTCAATATCTAGGAGTCATGACTTAAAAACTCACACAATAGCCCTCCAGGGTGAGGAGAGCCCTTCACAGCGATAAGGACTCCAGGCACTGGTTGATGTATAAACCCAGGCAGGGGGTGCGGGGGAGTGAGAACGGAATTTGGAAATGTCTGACATAAAAAGACAGTGTTTGAACAGGACTCCCACGGCTGAGTGGTGTGTGTGGACACTGAGCCAATATCCTGTCAGGTCCCGACAAACTGCCTCATCTGGGAAATCAGGAGTCCAAAGGGGCTGACCTGAGTCATCAAGAGGTTTCCCAAAATACTGTTCAAACAGGTGCTGGAGAAGAGCTGGGTTAGCAGTCCAGGCAGAGGTGTGATCGTGACGTGAAGGCACACTCCAGCACAGGGCACGAGCTGCAAAAAAATGGTCCATTCTTAGGAGTGAGCCTGGCAGACTGGCTGGACCAGGGACGTGCAAGGTCTGAGCTGAGACGGTTACGCGGGCAAGAACCGGCAGAGTGGGAAAGCTGCTGATGGGAAGAAGTGGTTCTCTGTCAGGAATCATTTATGGCAATTTAAGCACATCTCTGACCGGGTTCTGCTCAGGCCTGGCGGGTAGGATGGAAGGTCTCAGCTGGCTCTGGCAGTTCATGTGAGGGCAGGCGAAGTTATTGCCCTTTATCAGAGCTCGCAGAGGGGAGCACAGCCTGGCCCCACAGCGCCCAGCTCCAAGCCCTGGCAGACACCCGAGCGTGGTGGGCTGAGCGGAGATGCTCGGTGCACTGAGCAGAGATGCACAGAGCTGCCTGGGGTGCCAGCGTGTCTCTGCCAGGCGTGGGCACCACAGCAGAGGTGAACAGCTGTCAGAAACCTCTTTGGTTTGCCCCGTGCGAATCACCTGTTCTCCACGGCACAGCCAGACCCGCTGCTCCAGCTGTGCTGTGTTTCCACCGAGCTGCTGGAAAAAAGCTCTTGCTACCAGCAACCACGGACAGCCTGGCAGAACAGCCTCCAGGTGCAGGGAGTATGGGGACTAGGCAGATGCCAAAGGAGTGAACTGCATTACCCTGACCTTAATCTCCCTGGAATTTGAACTAGATTCAGTGTCCTGTCCCAAAACAAGGAACACCATTTCTGGGTGATGTCAGAGCATCGGTGTTCATTACCTCAAGCCCGGTCGTGTTTCAGCGCTAACTGCAGGGATCACACCACAGATACAGCCCAGTGTGAAGTCTGGATGGAGGGAAGCCCTTACTTGCCATTTATATGCACAACGCATAGAAATGAAGATGCTGAAGTCATCAAAGCTACCCCGATTTGTCCAAGGTCAAAGTCAGGTTTTATCACTCTTGAGAATGGGATTATAATAACCTGATAATGATTCTCAGAGGGCACGTTTATATGCTTAGGCAGAACTAATTTTGTACAGAGGGAGATGCTCGAGTGCTAATATATAAAAATGACAAATGATAGAGCTCTGAGCTGAGAGGTGGAGCAGGTTTTGGTATGCTCTGTCATAATTTGTCATCAAACCTGCTCTGTGTTCAGGTCATTTATAGTTGGTGCTCAGACGGTTTTCAGATAGATGCTCATTCTGAAATGCTCTGACCGCCAGCAGGAGCTTTCTTGGGGTTGGGAGCAGTTACTGAGCAGCAGATGGTCTGATCTGCAGGAGCCTTTTCTTGACTAGTTAGGCTGAGACTTTTTGAACTGAATGAGTGGTGCGGGTGTTCATGCAGCTGTGAAGAAACGCACTGGCTGCTTTTACGGCTGAAAAACTGGGGCTTCTGGCAAGCTTCCCAGCAACGATGTTTCACACGAAAGCATGTAATAAACTGTATCATTAAAATAACTGCAGAATTTAGGTCTTGGTCTTTTGATCCTGAGCTGTGTAGTTCTTTGGGTCCAGAATATCAGCACAAAGCCATTTTACATCCATCACCGTGCTCCAGCCCATGGTACAGTAAAATGACCTGCCATGCTCTTCTCTTTCTGCAGTTGGTCTGGCTGGTGAGCTTCCTGTCCGCTTTCTTCCTGAGCCTTCCCTACGGAGTTGCTGTGGGCGTGGGATTTTCCGTGCTGGTTGTGGTTTTCCATACCCAGTTGTAAGTACCAGCGTAGCTACAAAAACCAGAAGAGAAGGAAAATTTCCCAGTTGCAGAATAAACGACAGATTACTTTTATAACTGGCCTCTGGCCCGTGTTTCGAAGGAACGTGCGGCAGGAGCCTGGGGGAGTGCAGGTGTCCTCCCCAGCCCCTGGAATGTGCAAACAGGAATGGCAGGCGTTAATTTACTGCCTGCATTCCCACTCCTGCCCACGGTTTGTGATGTGCACATCCCAAGGCAAGGGGAAGTCTGAAGGTATTTACTTCAGCACGAAAAGCTACCTGCATAGTTCTCAGCAGAAAATCCTGCTCGTAAAAAGAAAGAGCCCCATATATGTGCAGAGACCGGCGTGATGTTTTCACACCACTTTTAATCCATCAAAGCTCTTTATTAATAGTTCCCAGTCTGGGATCTCAAACTGCTGACTCTTTTTTTGCCCTGTAGACTCTGCAGGGATGAAATCTAAGTATTTTCATAAAGAAAACTTTTAAATCCTGGTATGGAATGTGAAGCAAAGCAGTTTTCTACCCCTGCAACATTTACTCTAATTCTGATCACCTTTTTTCTCCTAGCCGTAACGGCTCTGCCCTGGGCCAAGTAACTTCCACTGACATCTACAAGAACCCTAAAGCCTATAACAAGGTAAGCAGAAGCTAAAGCATCCTCAGAGAAAATGCTGTTCTTTGCCACTGGCTCCCGGTGTGATCAGGAAACTCAAGTCTGCGTTTCTGTCTCAGCAAGGCTGTGTGCTGCTTGTGCCAGGGGCAGCAGGAGAGCTGCTGTTCGGTTTGACCTTCCCAGTTGCCCAAACTCCCAGCACCCTGCACTCCCCCCACCCCGTCAGACCTGGTTTGAGCTCTTGTCTCTATTGCAGGTACATGAACTTAATGGGATTAAAATTGTGACCTACTGCTCCCCGCTATATTTTGCCAACTCAGAGATATTCCGTGAGAAAATTATAGCTAAGGTGAGTAATGCCCTAACAAATTTCTGCTTTCAGCCAGTCCCAAATGGCCCTTGCTCTCTCCTGCATTGTTACATTGGGATAATTAAGCCTAGGATGATCGTGAAAGATGGTCACATCCATCCTCTACTCTTCCATCCTTTTCTCCCTGATATTCAGGACTGTTTGTAGACCTCATTTTAGAGGTTATGCCTGAGTCCTGGTGGGTATCCTCCTCCGAGCTCTGCCAAAGCAGAGTCCTCCTGCTACTGCAAGCCATGTGCAGGCACCCTGAGTCACTGCAGATGTCGTTGTTTGGTTGCCATCAGGATCACCTCACTCCAGCTGGTGCTGTCCTCCTGTGCCCCGTGCCACTGGCTGCGAAATAGCAGGAAAGAAATAGCAGCCCCTGACTATGGGGCTGAACAGACTTTTCTGAAGAAAACCCTCTCTCTTTTCCACAGACCGGGGTTGATCCTGGTAAGGTGTACTTAGCCAGGAAGAAACATGTGAAACGGCAGGAGAAGGGGACAGCACAAGCACCAACAAAGCTACCGAAATTCTTACTGCGCCAGAACAAGGTAACTCAGTTTGGGTTCCTGCGTTGATGAGTAAGAACCCAAGTCCCCATCAAACAGCTCGGCTTCACATAGGATTTTCCACACTGTCTTCCTAGCCACATTTACCACCTTTTGCCTCCTTTCCTTTCCACCCGTATCTTCATTCCTTCCAACAGCCAAAACCTTAAGATCAGGAGAACTGGAAACCGCTGGGAGCAAGAAAGCCATAGAGATGGCTAGAACAGAAACATGGTGAACAATTTGCTAGAAACTGGGCTTGCCCTCTTTCTCTACAGATGAACCTACGTTAGCATTTCAGTACAGAAGCGCCCTTTTGAAGCACATTTCCCAGTCATCCCAGCTTCATTTGGTTTGCATTTCTGGGCCATCTTGAAGCATGTGAACTGGAATAACTTAAAAATCAACCTAATGTACTCCAATCCCAAGGGACATTCAGGCTAGCATCAGTCTGAAGTTAGTCCAGATTAAAACACTACATACCACTGAATACTTTAGGTGCATTCACATGTCAGGGTCTGGGCTGGAGCTGATAGCTGTGCCCCACCCCGACTCTGCATTTCTGCTTTGCTGTAGACCTTGTCTTTGCAAGAGCTCCAGAAAGACTTTGAAAGCACCTCTCCAACAGATACCAATAACAACCAGACGACTGCTAATGGTGCCAGCATCTCCTATATCACATTCCGTCCACCTGCCAACGGTGCTGGGCAAGTGCACACCTCCAGTGAGCTGGGCAGCACCACTACTCTGCAAGGAAGCACTTTCAGTGTCATGCCTACAGCAGAAGTTGACCCTATGATGACAGCACCACCCTACATCAGCTTTCACACCATCATCCTGGACATGAGTGGGGTGTGTTTTGTTGACCTCATGGGCACAAAAGCACTGGGCAAGGTGAGTTCTGTACTGCAAGCACAGTCAAGCAACATATCGCCCAGGTACCTTCTACTCTCTTGGGCAGCTCAGATAAAGATGTTTACCTTCCTCAGTAGGTGGTTTGTGTGGCTTTCTCCTTCAGCATCCCCAGGACACTTGTAAAGCCCTGGGTAAAAGACTTCATGTCTAAACACAAAGCTGGAGCAGCAGTGTTATTAATCCTCTCTCTCCCCTCTCATCCTTTCTAGTTATGTTCCAGTTATCAGAAGATTGGGATTAAAGTGTTCTTGGCAAACGTGCATGGTAAGAATCCATGAAGAACACATTTCCATGTGATCTTCCCCCATTTGTATGCTCATGACAGACAGGAGATCTTTTTGTGTTATGAAAATTGTGTGAGCTGTTAGCCTTTTGTTGGACCAGACCAGACCAGATGAAAGAAGAGAACAGAAGAAAGGAAAGAGAAACACTGTTCTCTGTGTGTGAAATAGGTCCTTTCATTTCTGAAGTGATATGACTGTAACATCTCCAGATTTAGCATGTAGAAAAATAGATCCCTACACTCTCATTTCTGCAGCAAACCTGCTTTTTCCCTATGCATCCCAGCTTTGCTTTAACTCAGAAGACCACTGCCAGCCATGTACAACCTCAAAGGCTTCCTTCTTTGGTTTCCTTCCTGTTCATGTGCTTTTCCTTTCTTCAGCCCAGGTGTACAATGACATTAGCACAGGCGGAGTCTTTGAGGAAGGAGGTCTGGACCAAAGTCACATCTTCTTGACGATCCATGATGCTGTTTTGTTTGCACTAGCAAATATCAAAGAAGTTGTCCACACGCCCATCTTAGAAGAGGTAAATTTGCTCCCCAATCCTTCTCCAGCTCACAGTATTGTACTATTAGGTTTACACATTGCATCAGCACAAAGGAAGAATAACAACTCAATGCTACACCTAATAAAGTTTTTTATTTATCTCAAATGGTAAAGATCTAAATTCAACAAAATATTTCACCTCTTAATTCTCATGTATGGGCCAAGTGCCTACGGACTGAATTGATTTCAATGGGAATTCAGAAGTATAAACATCTTCTGCAAACACCTAGCTGGGAGATGAATGTTGTTCCATCCTGGAGAAGGCAACAGAGCTGTTCCACCACTACACCCTCAGTTTTGTGTTGGATGGAACATGCAGCTGCACACAAAGGAAGCATCTGGCCCTCAGAAATGAAAGAAAAGCACATGCCCCTGTCCTTGAATAGCCCCAACATCCATGAATGCTTCACTTGGTGGGAGGAGAAAAGGCCAAGGCAGGAATCTGGTACATGCTGACAACACAGGGTCAGACAGGCTATTTCCCCAAATATGGGTTGGTTTATTGCATGATAATTGGAGTTGGAGTCAGGGCGGTGTTAGCCAGCTATCTCATGAGAGTAAGTTAAGGTATCTTGTATCTTGGCAGTAAATGCCAGCTCAGTCAGAGGAGATAAACAATTGAAACGGGATTCCTTCTGTGCCCCTTCTTCCTTTGAGCACAAGTGATGTTTTAAGCCTGGGTTAGTATTTTTTTTCATTCTCTCAACACTGCACTCTGCTAATTTGTGGATCGGGTTCTTTCCTTCGCAGAGGCCAAATCAGACAGAGCTATCCATCTATGACGAGTCTGTGGACGAAAGCAGCACAGAGTTCAAGAACTTGGAGGAGGTTAGTTCTAGTGCCAGGGTCACTTCTTCAGCTGTGGACATAAGGTGGAAATCAGAAGTCATGGTTGGGATTGATTAGATGGGAAGTCCCCTGTGCCACTGTAAGACAAACTGCTAGCAATGGTAACGCTTTGAAAAGTTTGTTGAAAAAGTAATTTAAAATCCCTGTAATGAGGAGCTCTGGTAGACACCTGGATGAAGGAGCCACAGGGGAATCCTGTACTCCATTCCGGGCCACATAGCTCAGGTTCACAGTCAGACCTGTGGTCTCCATGCACTGGGGGGAACTTGGAGAACCAGGTTTAGCTCAAGCCCAAAAAAAGGGTCACTGGTCAAGTTCTTCAGCACAGCCTTTGTCAACGCTGAAGCGATTTGCACCCACTGAACTCAGAGCCCTGGGAGGAGATACGTTCCAGTGCTGACCTTCCCCATGCTAGCAGACACAGCTGGAAGCTGAGCAACCTCCCCAGGGCCAGCTTTTCCTTCTGGAGGAGGGCTGGGAAGGGCTGGAGTTTCTGGTGTCATTTCACTGGGTGACTGAACGACTGCTGAGCTGCATTGCTGGGTTTGTGCCACAGCATCAGCCCTAACCCAGCGTGCCTTGTGTGCCCTTTAGGAGATGTTTGGAAGCATGTTCCACTCAGAGACCCAGACAGCTCTGTGAGCGCACAGGGAGCATCAGCATGCGGGCAAACCCTCCCGAACAGACTCCTGTCTCCCATCCCTTCGTGAAGAGCTACACTTCTACCTGGGGATACAATAAGTTTGCAAAGCAAGAGGCCATCACACCTCTTGAACTGATAAATTCCTCCCTCCTTCCTGCTCTGCTTCTGGTATTCAGAGCAATTGGACTCTGGAGCAGGCAACAGAACTCTACGGAAGCAGGAACTCAGGAAATGCCATCTCATTAATTACAGAAGAGAAGCGAGTTCATTTGAAGTCAGGTGCCTTAACAAATGGGACAATTAGTCATTATTGCTAAGTGCTCTCCTTTGTCTCACACAATTGCACCCTTCTGCCCACACAGGCATTACGTAATTTGGGCATCCCCCTTCTTTCTTTTCCCTTCTCCCTCTTTTCCTGATGAAGTGAAATGAAAGCAAATATTAAGGCCCTTTCACGGCTTTGATTCACGAGCTAAAGCAACTCTTGCGAGGTGCCGCGACACAACACCTTGTTCTAAAAGGTGCACTGACCTTCGCAGTGTCTGCACGGTAAGGGCAAACCCCTGGATTTCCCTGCATGTCTGTGTAGCATCACCTCTGCTTTTCCTGAGGCCCCTCTTCTACAACCCCTGCACTGCTCTCTCTGTGTCCCAGAAACCACTGCCTCAAACCAATCCTGTATTTCTGATACTCCAAAGACCTTGGTACTCTATCTCAGTAGGGCTACTTGCAGGATTGCATTTTTTTTCCTTAGTAATAGGACTAGCTTGTAATCAGAAATAAGAATTCCTTGTTACTGCGTGTTACATACACATATTGTCCTGCCTGCCCAGTGAGTTGAGTAAATGTTCTAAAGACCCAGGGTCAGGTTCAAAGCCCTCTGAAGTTTTTCAGAGATCTTTCTACCAACGGAACAGTGCTTCAGATAAGGTCCTTAGGCTGTGAATGGCATGAAACCATTAATCCCAATGGTGTTCTGACTCTTCCCATCTTTTTGTTGACTGGAGCAACTAAAAGATTTAGTCCAGAACATGGATGAGTGCTTTGTGGAAAGATGTTTTTCCTGAATCATTCTGATCACGAGTAGCAAATTCAGGGACAAGGAAGGAAGCTCCTTCTGCATGCTTTTCATGATGCCATCGATCCAGAGCAGTAACACTGAAATTTGAGTGTATTTTACGCCTGCAACTAGGGAATAGCCCAAGTGACACCCTGTGCTATGCAGGGCTTCTGGTAACAAGCTCTCAAATGGTCACCTCTGCAGCAAGAGAAAACTCCTGTATAGTATGTGATATATCCATAACAATTCTCTACTTCATGTTTGATATTTTCATTAAAATTCACCACAGACTGATGCTACCAGGACCATCTACCTCTCAGGCAAACAAGCCTGCCTCAATAACCCAGAGAAAGACAGCTGAGATAGTAATCATTTCTAAAAATCTGACATTCTTTCATATTTGAGTGATGTTAATAACAACTGCTATTTTAGTTTCCTTTTCTGATGCCTTCCCTTCTTACCCAGTGCTGATGTGGTGACAGTAATGACAAGATGACAATATAAAGCCTGAAAAATCTAAGCACAAGCCAAGGGTTAAAGGAACCTTTCTTTCTTCAGTGCATTTCAACCTCAAATATGGCTTTTATGAAAATAAGGTTATAAAAAATTTAAGATAAAGACACATACTGGTATGTCTTCAATTGCAATGAAACCAATTTCTTTTGTTTGAATTTCAAATCTTCCTCCAAAGTATTTCCAGTGCTGGGATAAGATGCAAGAGTCAACATGAAAAACTGAACAGTAATGGAAGTAAAACTGGACAGTCTGTTATCTTTCCATGGGTGCAAAAAATAAAAAGTGTCCTTAATAATGAAAGTAAATTATATTTTTAAAAGTCATTTCTATTTTATTACTCTAAGATATTAAAAATATTAGCAAGCTTTAATGTACAGTTTTGAAGTACATATACATTATTGAGCTGATTCACTAGCAGATTGCTAGAAAGCATTCTGGGCAGAGGAAGTGAGGCTTTCCTACTGCTCCCAGATGTCTCATTTTTAGGGAAAATAGAGCTTCATGAACCATCCTGGCTAGACAACATTAAAGGAAACAACATCAGGACCCTGACAGTTTGGTTTTATATAACACCTCATTAACTAAGTAACCATTTCTCTACCTCAGTTTCTGATTATGTGGTGCAGGAGAGAGTAATAAAACCAAAGGTTAGCTTCCAAAAGGAAAAACCCACTAACTAATGGGTATTACTTATTTTGATCTTAAAAAGCAGTGATTTTTCCAGAACCATGTACAGCTTCTTCTGTAAGGTAAAATGAAGAGATTAATTCTCTTAAACTATGTTTGAGGGTGATTACTCATGGTCTTTTGTTACTGCCTGAGTGCTCCTTTTACTCACTCGTTTGAAAAAAGCCACAAAGAAATTGGTACAATGGAACAAGAAATTCCTATAGTAGCTAATCAATATTTCTGTATCTCTGAGGTGGCATCATGTTAAATGAGGAAAATTCCTATTTCCAGTTCCTCATTCAGGGTTAATTACAGGAGGCTGATTTCACAGTCTCAGGGCCTGACAGGCCAAACGCAGGAAGCCTCAGAGCAACAGACCATGTATAAAAAAGAGATTGTATTTCTTGAAGTTCCTACAAACATAATGGATGGGATGTCAAGAGAGGTGGTTTGAAAGTAGCAGCAGTGACTATATGCTCTGCAATTCTGATGGCTCAGGAAGAATACCTCATTTTGGTAGTCATGGGCCAAATCTGGCAATAAATGTAACATCAGTAGGCAAATGGTATTGCTGGAAGCACAATGTGGCCAGTTCAAAGTCTTAATTCCCAAGAACCCAGGCAAGAGAACTAGGGAAGCTCAAATTCACACTGGGGTGGAAAAATTTTAATTACCAGTGTCCCTTTATTGCTCTAAAAGTAACAGTGAAGTTGATGTGTAATGGCGCTGAAGCCTTACTTGATAAATGCATGATGTATAACCAGCTCACAAATATTTGTAATTTATTTAATTTAATATTGGTTTTGTTCTTTTTTGATAATAAAGAATGTGTGAACAATCATCTGCTTCTTCTGCTGATTAGGGAGCAGGCTTTCCTTTGCAGCTCCTATGCAGTATTAAACATCTTGGGACAGTCTATGCCATGGGAAGATAGGATAAATCTTTAAATTCAGTACCAGGCAGCTGTAAGGAAAGGAAGAACAATTTTTTTCCATTGCGCTGCCTGATGAAACCAGGCAAGAAGTAACACGTTTTGAAAACCAGGTGGATTTAGACCCTGTTGGGAGTGGGTTTGGCACACCACCACGCATGCCTCCGGCCTTTCCCTCAGCCCAGTCCTGACTGACCAGTGTCCTCCTGCCTAACTTGTGGACCCCTGAACCTGGGGGTGGTTATTCTCCACGGGCACACCTTTGCCTTCAAACACCCCGTCGTTTTGGGAGCAACATCCTGAGCTCCAACACTTTTGGCCTCCTAGTGGTCTCTACACACAGCCCGAGCCAGGGTGAGGGAACATTCCCATTATTGCTTGCTGCCGTGGGTAGCAAATACGGTCCGCCACGGATCCTAAACGTCCCTTCGAGATAAGAAACGGGCGATTTCACAGAAGGAATAAAAATCCAACGCGCCCTCCCCACCCTCCCGCCGCCATTTCAAAAGTGCGGCGGCGCGGAACTACAACTCCCAGGAGCACTCGCGAAGGGGGGGGGCGGATCCAACCTGCCGATTGGCCATCCTCTGGGGCGGGTGGGTGCCGATTGGCGTTCGGTCACGCCCGTCCGGTGCTGCGCGGGGGCGGCGGGCCAAGTCCGCTGGGGATGGCGGGCGGCGGCGGGCGGCGGCGGGCGGCGGCTTGGGCCGTCGGCCTGGGGCTGTTCGCGGTATTAATGGCGCTGGCGGCCGCCGTGCTGCTCCGGGCCTACCTCCTGCGCTCCCCGGCGATCCCGCGGCTCTGGGCGCGGCGCGGCGGCACCTCCGCCTTCAGTGCCGGCGAGAGGCTGGAGCTCAAGGAGGCGCTGCGAGGTGAGGGGGGCCCGGCCGGCCGCCCTGGTTCCCCACACCCTCCGGGGCCTCCCCAGGGGCCTGCAGCCTGTGTGCCCCCCGCCATCCCCGGGGCAGGGCTTGTTGTCAGCCCCCTGTTTCCCCGGCGTCGCGGCTGGGGCGTCCCGAGCTCGCCCTGGGGCTGCGATGGGTCACTGCAGGGAGAGAGGTTGGCATCAAGGGCCGGCCATGGGACACGGGTGGGAATGGGTCAGCAGTGAAGGACACTTCTTCAGCTCCTTTCCCCTTGGAGGAAGCTGGTTGGTTATTCTCCTGAAGCCAGCTTTCTTCCCACGTTGATTTTCTTTAGCGTTTCCCCTTCATACATGCAGAATGCTTCAGGCACCCTGTGACTGCATTTGCTAGGCATCTGTTTGTCCACGGGATAGATCAGTCTGGTTTGGTTTTTTTTCTTTCCTGTTGGCTGAAACCTTGCACACCGCTTCACTGCACGCCACCCGTCTATAACAAGTCAGGGTGTGTTTGTGATCTCTGACGCAGTCTTCTGCAGAAGACTTTGAGTGTATTTGGATCTTATGAGGGTTGGCAGTTTATAGGAAACCACAGTCTGGCATGAAGTGATAGTTCTGGACTGTTCAAATAGGGGTTTGGTTCTGTAGAGCTGGTATGTTGCTGGTTTGTAAGATTTATCACATAGGAAATTCTGTTTATGTGCTTTTTTTTTAATGGGAAAATGCAGGAATACAAGAGATACTTATTTTTATGTTTCTTCTTGAATAAGGCAACCTTTAAAAGAATCTGTAACGTCACTCAACATGCTTTTAGGAAAGGCAGCTATGGTTGGGACTAAGTTATACCCATGTTTTGCGTGACAGTGACTCGATGTTGGAGAGGAGCCTTGTCTGACCCTGTTTAAATGACAGAGCAGACTGGAAGAACGAACAAAAGACCTGCCTGTTTATATATCTTAATAGGTTGGAGCGCTATGAAAGAAGGTGCTATAACAATCTTGCCATCACAGTCTCACTAACTATTGGAAAAGGACCTTGAACTGCCCACTAAGCTGCCTGCTTAGCTGCCAGAATAGTTTATGACTATGAGGAATCAGGTCACCCTAGCAAAATGCAACTGCTTCTGGACAGTAGTGTTTCTAACAATATCATTCAACACTTCAGGATGAAAAATGGAGTTGAAGTATCTGGAGAAATACATTGGCTGAAACTGCAAGGAAATACTGGTGTGCTGCATGTGCACAGCTCAGCTGAAGTATATCAGTGGTTTTTTGATAGTGGCAGCATTTACTATCCTGTGAAATAATATTTAAAGCCTGGAAAATATTCAGGAATGTAAATATTACTTTCCACTTTGAAAAGAGATTCTAGTATTGTTTGACTGATTTCAGTGTCAAATGATTTCTGTTTTGTATTTTGTTGAAGGTGCTATTAAAATCCCAACTGTTTCTGTATCTCCAGAGGACTTGAATACAACTGCCATGGCAGAGTTTGGAAACTACATTCAGGAAGGTACTAAACTTTCTTTCTTAGCAATCTCTGCTGCTCAAGTTTATTTTCACAAACAAATTGAAGAGAGTATATATTGTTCTTGATCATAATGGAAGAGATTCTTATTTTGTTTTTCTCAGGAAAGGACTGGAAAGAATGGCATACATAAGTCACCTCTGCAGCAGTGTACTTTGGTGTAGCAGTGGCCAAAGCTAGAACAGAGAAGGTTCAAATGTCTGTTTGCAATGGTGGTTTTTGGTCATTGAGATGGTTAAAGGACCTTGCTATTTAAAAGAAAAAAAAAAAAAAAAAAAAAAAAAGACTGCCCCTGCTTCAGCCTGCTTTTTTGGCAGTCCCATCGTTGCTACCTGCAAAACAACTGCAGCACTGGTGAACCAACAGTTCCTGGTTTTGCTTAGGAAAGTCTTAAATACCAAGTGAGATGAATTGGTAGAAGTGTGAGAATGAAGCTGCACATCTGCTTCCTGAAGTGAATTTATTGTGGTCAGTCTTACAGTTCTGCCCTGGAGACTAAATAGATGTCTACTCAATGGAGTGTATAATGATAAAATTAGACATTATTGTTAATTTTTCTTTTTCACGTGTTTTTAATTTTTTTCTTAACAGTCTTCCCGGCAGTATTTTCTTCAAAGTTCATTCAACATGAAATTGTTGGGAAATACAGCCATCTCTTTACTGTTCAGGGTTCTAACCCTGAAATGATGCCCTATATGCTGCTTGCACACATGGATGTTGTGCCTGCTCCCCCAGAGGGCTGGGATTTCCCTCCTTTCTCAGCTGCAGAGCACGAAGGTTTCATCTATGGACGAGGAACGCTGGATAACAAAAATTCTGCCATAGTACGTCATCTTGGTAATATCACTTCAGAGAGATATAAAGTCTGAAAAAGGTAGACTAAAGGAATCTGTTTTCTTGACATTTACTATATTGTCCCTCTTGCCCCGCTTTAAAAGCAGGATGTTAGTGAAAAATTCTTAAGCCCTGCAGTTTTATCCCAGATGGAGTGGTCTTTTATTACTGAAGAAGGCAGAGTTAAAGCTCTTAGAAGATACAGAAAGAGATGTTGAGAGATGCAGATGTATTTGGTTACATGCCATATTTAAATTTTATGTCAAATGCTGTGTTTGAAATCAGGGATAGACCTTTTACTTTTTCCCAGGTGTCATATGGGCATTCAAAGCCAAACCTGGCCCTTTGAAAAGGCTTGAGTTTCAGAGTAAACAATGTTTATTCAATATTGTAGTCAAATAACCTTGTATCTTTTATCTCGTCTGTGGCAGAACAAAGAACTGTTGTACTAAGTACATTTGGGAGGAATAAAGTAC